TGCCTCTCAAAGTGCTGGGATTACGAGCGTGAGCCACTGCACCTGGCCTGGGCCCATTTCTTTGCTTCAATATGAATGCATAAGAAAACCATTACCTGGGAACAGTGTGGTCTTAAGTACCCGAAGTTAAGTTTTCTAAGGCCTCACACTCGATTCCATTAGCTGCCTCTGCTTTTCCCTCCACTTTCTCAACTCTTTCTGCTTTATCTTCTCTGCTTCTCTCTGATTTCTCCTTCCTTTAGTTCTGTACAGCTTCTGTTTCCCTGTCTCCTCTCCCAAGGTCAGCCTCAGTGCTGCCATGATCTCGGAGGATCTGGTCCAGCTAATTTCCTTCTCACGCTGGGCTGCAGATGCTATATTTCCACCCTCATTCCACTTGTGATGAATCAATCCAAAAATTCTTTCTGAGTGCTTAGCATGTGCCAAGTATAGAGGTAAAACTGTGGGGCAGGGACTTTCAATCCCAGGATGTCAGAAAGTTTCCAAAATTAGTGAAATTCTTAGGTGCGTTGTCAGCTTTGCTGTTATCCTGCAACTACCATTTATTAGCTCTGAAGCTTTATAAAAAGTGTTTGCATTCTCCAGGCTGCTTTCTCAGCCATAAAGCAGGCATTATAAGAATGTCTACTTTTGAAGGTGCCAGTGAAGATTAAGTAAGATAATCTACGTGAAACATTTGTCACAGTATGGGATGCATAGCACTAACAACAAACACCTGCTGAGATCTCATTACCCCCCTCATGTTAATGTTGAGTTGGCAAAATGACAACATGAATCACCCTGACATCTGCAGGACACTTGACCATTCTGACAGCTGAGGCTGAAGGCTGGGTATGTCCCCATCCATCATGTAAAGACAGATGTAAAGACTGGTCATTCCCACAGCTACAACATCTGCCCCAACGCCTTCCTGCCTTCAGTCCCACATCTGCTGGCCTCTGGCTAGGAAAGGCACAGGGAAGGAGGACCAAGCTGCCAGCAAGATGGCCCAGGAGCCCCATGCCCTCATGCGAGGTCTTCCTATCTGAAGCCACACATGCAGGTGTGCAATAGCGCTCTCAGCTCTCGTATGGGGCCTGGAAGTTAGAGTGTTCTGGAAGCCTGAACCCCAAAAGTCAGCAGTGGAGAGAGTGCTTTGCTCAAGAGATCATGCAGACTGTGGCTTTATCTGGTACTTTATGTTTATTATGGCCAGGGAAAACTTCCTCCCACCGCAGGGGAGCCAGGGATAGTGCTCATGTACTGCATATGGTTATGCCTCAATTATGATTTTTATGAGAACCATGTCTTTTGGAGACAAGCTCAGAGAAATTGCTCATTTTTATTGTTTTGCCTGGAAACAGGAAATTCCCTTCCTGCAGTGATGCAAAGCAGTCTTTTGATCTCCCTCCAGAAACAGACATACGCTAGCAAAATGCATGTCCTCCAACTCCCTTCAGCTGGGCACGGCTTGCAAAATTAATGAATCGGAAAGATTCCAGTTGCACAGTAATATTAATGATGATAATTGTTTCAGTGATATTTCTGACTTTTCAAAATGCTTTCATATCAATTCTCATTTCATTCTCAAGTGCACTTGAGAAGGAAGGCCTCATTTTACTGGTATTGGCTCATCTATGATTAAATGGTAGCCTCAAGGAAGTCACCCAGCTTTCCTAGGTCACAGGGCTAGCTGGTTAAAGAAACCATTGTACCAGAACAGCAAGCTCCAGGTTTCTGGCCACATCCTGTTTCTACCTTACTCCATTGCCTTGTACCGACAATGCTTCCTCTTCATTCTTCTTTCGATATTCAGCAAGTAACAGTCTCATCCAAGCTTTCATGGTGACCTGTCTTCTAATCTTCCTATCCTATTGCAATTGCCGTCGGATAGAACTGACCTTAAATGCTTACAATAGCCCTCATAAGTTCTTCACTTCTAGAAGTAAAGCACCCTGACATGTGTCCATTCCTACAACATCATCACAACATCACGCCACCTAAACATAGTCTTTGCTACTCTATTATCTGTCGAATAAAACCCAAACTCTTTTTTCAGGCATGTGAGACCCCCATGCATCCTCAAGCTTACTTCCAGGGAGAATCCTTCTCTCCAGGCAGCTGCGTTGGCCCACTGTTCTCAGAACCCACCTCAGATGCTCTGATCTGAGACCTTGTCCCCAGTCCTCCCTTCCCCTAGAACACACCCCTGCTCCACCCAGTCCCACCTCCAGCGGAGCCCTGTGGAGTCTGTACCGCCCGTCCATTAAGCCTTTTCTGACCACTCCAGCCAGCAGGGCACAGTCTGCTTGTTCTCCTTCAACACGATCTTTTTTGTTCATTGTCCCCACAGAACTCCAGGAAACTTGAATGCAGGGCTTTCTTTAAGCTCTCACCCCCGGGACAGCCTTCTTGCATCATAGGCAAGAGGCATAATCCCTGTGCACCTTCTGAGCACTTGGAGAGAAGAGGCAAAAGGGATGTCAAAAACAATTTTAAAGACAAGCCAAGGATCTATGGTGTGGACACCCAAATACCCTTGGCAATGGCAGCTAAGAAGGGCTGTAGAGTGGATGTGAATAATTTAGTCTCCAAGGGGACCGAGTTTTTGACTAAAGTTTAAAAAAAAATGTCTGTGCAGCACTCTGAAACTACAGGGGAAGAGCAAAAGTTCCCTATGGATCTCTTTGCAGGATGTTTTTCAAAGGCATTCAGTGCGGTTACAAGTTTACAGAGAGGTCTGCTTCAGAAGAGAATATTGGGGGAGTCTCTGCATCTACAGTCATTTCTAATGAAGATATATGTTTCCTGCAGCCGGTTACCCTCAAAGACCTTGCAGTGCCCCATGACATAGGCTGAGTGAGCTCAGGCATAAATGCAGCAAAAAAGACAAAGCAGCAGCCAGATGCCTCATGTTTTCCACTGATTCGGTTGGGGTCCTGCATTACTGGGAAGAATAGCACAGGGAAGAGGTGCCCTTCTCGGTGTGTCCTGTGGGGTGACACTCTGTGCTGCACACAGACGCTAGCCTGGGCCATGTGACTGGAGCACTTCCCCCCGGCCTCCCTCAAGCCCAGTTCTCCTCTCTCTTGGCACTGGGTCATGGCACTTCCCCTTGCATAGCCCCAAGCAAATATCCATTATTTACTATCCACCTTGGATATGTCTCTCCTGAGATTGTTAAGCAAAGTGTTACAGTTAATATTGCTATTACCTAATCAGCATTTCCCAGGATTTATTCTTACTAAAAGTTTTATCAACAAGACAGAGTGTCAAGGCTTTATCTAATATGACTTGCCTGTTCAGTTTAGGTAAGTGTATTAGTCCATTCTCACACTGCTATGAAGAAATACCCAAGACTGGGTAATTCAAAAGGGAAAGAAGTTTAATTGACTCACAGCTCCACATTGCTGGGGAGGCCTCAGGAAACTTACAATCATGGCGGAAGGCAAAAGAGAAGTAGGTGCCTTCTTCACAGGCAGCAGGATGGAGTGAGTGCAGGCAGGGAAAATGACAGACACTTATAAAACCATCAGATCCTGTGAGACTCACTCACTATTATGAGAACAGCATGGGAGAAACCACCCCCATGATCCAATACCTCCACCTGGTCCCACCCTAGACACATGGGGATTATGGTGATTACAATTCAAGGTGAGATTTGGGTGAGGACACAGAGCCAAACCATTTCAGTAACTGAATGTCACTTGTGGCAGTTGATTGACAACTTGATGGGCAATGCTGCTTGATCCTACTTTCAATGAGACCTCAATCATTTTGTAATAATTAACATTTATGCTAAACAGAGGATACTGGCTTGAGGAGGGTCTGGAGATTCCTGAATAAATCATAATTATCAACAAGTAACATTTAGGGCTGCTTACTATGTGTCTGGCATTGTGTGTGCACTGTCTCTCTCTCTTACCTACGATTCTCACTTAACAGACTACGAAACATTACCTCTCTTTCTCCCACACTTGCTAGTGCCACACTCACACCCAAAGCCCACAGTCAACATCCAACCCAAAGCTTACACTCAACACTCCTGTATGCCTGGCCCTTTCTGGAAGGGTTTCTGTTCGGCTACAAAAGACAGTTTACAAAGCATTGCTTTAGAGAGTGGGGAATTTGAAGTTTGAGCGGGTCTTTGCTGTTCCAGTTTCCAAAAATTCCTAAAGAATGAAGCAGGAAATAAGAATTTTAACTTTACTCAGCCACTAATCATTAAGATCATCTTAGGAAAACCACCAGTACATCAACAAACACAGCAGGGGTAGATTATTGTGTCTTTCTTGTGTTTGTCACACCCTTCTGGAGTGCAGAGCCCTCATGAATGAGATAGGGCCTTTATTAAAGGGACCCCAGAGAGCTCACTTGCCCCGTCCCCCATGTGAGGACGCAGCTAGAAGGTGCCGACTCCGAACCACGGAGTGGGGCCAACAGAATTACATCTTGAGTGTTCCCTGTGTCCTTCAGTTCTCCGAAAGCACTGGGAAACCTAGGGTAGAGCAGCACAGCATGACACCGTCACGAAATTCACACATGAAATAATTACAGAATGCTTATATAGAGGTGACCATGAGCTCAGGTTTCACGGAGCACTCAGAGAAGGATTCATGTTGCAGACAGGACCAGAGAGGGATCTGAAGGGAGGACTCAGATGAGTGGAGACAAGGAAAAGTGAGCTTTCTGGGAGGGTACGTGGCCAGGGAGCAGTTGAACAAGGCACATGTGGGTATGCTGGGGAGACAGTGTCATTGCACCTGAGTGTGGGTGGTTACCTGGGAGGCAGGGAAGGGCTCCTGCAGGCGGGAAGGCTTGGACTCGATAATGACATTGTGGAAGCCACCCCGCTCCTCCCCTCAGCCTGCTGAGTGCACTAAACCCCTTATGGGTTCCTTAACTCTCCTTGCCTATGGCTCTTAAGCCTCTTCCTGCACCAGGACTGTTAGGTACCTTGCTAATTTCGAGTTATTTTTGTGTGAGTTATTATTATGCCAATTCATTCTCAGGTGAACCAGTGAGATCATCAAAATGATTAAGTCCAGGATGTCACAGGATACACCGTCTCTAAGGCAGAGTTTTTAAAAGGCATGGGAGCTTCCTTCCTGTCTGCATCCCTGACTTCGCCTCCATGGCATTCATCACTTTCACTCCCTTCTCATTTCCTGTCTTGCCCTCTCTATGCTCTGGCTCTCCTCCTACACACTCCATTTTGTCTTCTATTGTTAGGGAAAGATAAAACTTGAGTGACTCCCCCAGTGCCCAGCAAGTCTCATCTCTCATAAAGAAGGTCCTTGCTGCTCTACCCACACTGATCTTCCCCATCTCTCAGATCCAAGAGCACCGGCCCCGGGTCATAACAGCAGCAGGGGCCACATGCAGGGCACTGGGCAGAGAGGCCTGGTGACGAGCAGGTGGAGACACAGGATGCAGCCAGCACCATTGCCCAGCCTCCTCTCTGAGGCCCTAGCAGCCAGTGGTCTTCATGCTTCATGGGGAAGGAAATCACAGGGGTTATTAAATGCCTCCCAAAAACTGCTGTGTGGTCAGACCCTCCCTGGTTTCGTCTCTGTACGGACAGCAGCTGTGTCCGCCTTCCGTGAGCGGAATTCAATGGCAAAGTCTCTTCCCTACTTAACGCTCAGCCTAGGCTGGGCTTCTTCAGATCCAGCTGCCTACAGTTTTCATTAAGCAGCTGACCTTCCAGGTCTTTCCTGTTGTAGCCCAAACACAGGAGGAATTGGGCTTCTCCCAGGAAGTCCCCTGGGCCTTCCATTCCAGGCCTAGAATGAGAGTCTCTTCAATGGGACTCAGCCCTGTGAGGCCCCTCAGGGACACGAGGCTTCATCGAGTCAGATGGAACCAACCTTCTTCCCCGGGGAGCTTCTCTCTTGGGAGGTCCTTTTCTTCCAACAGTCCTTCCGGAGTCTACTTCACCTCATCAGGGGAGAATTCCCCGATGTCCCTGATCTCTGGTGACTGTCTTAGTCCACTCAGGTGGCTATAACAAAATGCCATAGATTGGAGGCTTATACGCAATGGAAATGTATTTCTCACAGTTCTGGAGGCGGGAAGTCTGAGATTGAGATGCTGCAGATTTGGGGTCCGGGGAGGGCCGGCTCTGGGGTTCAGTCCACACCCTCTCCCTGTGTTCTCACATGGTGGAAGGGGCAGGTGAGCTCTCTGGGGTCCCTTTAATCAGGGCCCTTTTTCATTCATGAGGGCTCTGCACTCACGATGTAATCCCCCCCAAAAGTCCCCGCCTCCTAAAACCGTCACTTTGGGTGTTAGGATTTCAACATACAAATGTGGGGTCTGTGGGAGGGAACAACATTCAGACCATAGCAGCGACCCATGGTTGGCAGACAAGAAGTTGCTCTTTGTCATTCCCGAGCTGTTTCTCTCTGCAGCCAGCCTGATTTCAGTCAGTGGTTCATGGTGCCTAGCACCTGGCTGGGGCTTGGGAAGGTTTACAAAATGCAGGAAAGTCACATTTAAGCCAGAGGGGTTCCAATAGTCATCTACTCCAGGCCCTCCACACACAGAGGATGAGCCCAGCTTCCAGGCTGCTGAGATCACCTGTCCCAGCTTACGCAGGCTCCGAGTGATGGAGCCAAGGAAGGTACTTTCTCATCCTCCCCGAATATCTCCGATTCAGATTGTGAGACCAGGTGAGAAGTTTATTAGACATATATCTAAACTAAGAAAGAATAAGAGATGTGATAAAGGCCTGAGAAACTGTTATGAGTGAAGCATAGATAGATCACATTCAGTCCACTGAATTCTTTTAGGATCATTTCTTTTCACTAAACAGGTGGCCTTGCCTGGTGCTCATCACGCCCACCTGATGATCCTGAGGTCTCTGCTTAGTGACATTGCCCCTCAGTGGAATTTGTGTCTCTTTCCAGGAGTCATTGGGTGGTGTGTATATTGCAGGTGCAATGAATATTTTACGCCTCCCAGAGGACGGATGAAGATGAGCTGCCACCCCCAAGAGGGCAGTAAGGAGAGTCAACAGCGGCCGATCCTCTTTCCCACAGCAGAGAGAGGGAAGGGGTGAGCAGGATCTCACAAACACCTCCAACTTGCCCATCTCCTCTCTCATTACCAAGCCGGCATGGCGTGACAGCTGCATTAACATTCTCCAGCTGAGGTGTTTATGGAGAAACCCTGAGCATGCAGATACAGAGACAGAAAGTCATCCCACAAAGGTCATCGTTAGGCTCCACGAAACCACCAGCCAACAGCAAAGCAGAATCACTGGGTGAATAAATGACAAACTGATACTAATCAATGTGAAAAACTTACACCCAAGGGTTACATGAGAACTGGATGGACGTCTGAGCTCTCAGCTACAAGAACAGGGGGCTAAAAATGGGAAACCTGTAACCCATGAAGCTTGGAGTCAGTAAACTCATTAAGCCTGGGTCTTCGCAGACCAGTGTGGGAAGGTCCGGGTACTCACAGCTGTGAAGAATTTCAGTGTCTCCATTTCAACTTTCAGCTGAAAAACTGAGTGCAATGTGGCTTTTAGTGATTACCAACACATTTTAGTGTTATTTTCTAAATACTAAAAAGCCTTCAATTTGGCAGTTCAGACTGTATTTCCTGTGGAGTTTCTTTTATTTCTGTTTTCACTATTGTGGCTGCCATACTATTCAAGGTGTGGATTAATGAGAGGATGGGCCCGAGAGTGCCTTTTCATATTTGCCCTCAGGAGTTTATAAAAACATAAGAAACATAAAATACTTCGATATTCTTGAAGTGTTCATCATTTCCTGATGAATGCATTGTTAATTGGAAGCCCCTCTCTCATATAAAGTACCAAAAACTGGAACTCATGAGAAATTAGGAATATTTTTCTGATGCTAAATCACCAGAAATTCCTTTAGATTTGTCATGTACTAAAAATTCTCAAGGTCATTCCACTTCAAAACAGAATTTTAAATAGCATGGACGTGAAGAGAATCTCCCAGAAATGTCATTACTGGTTTTGAAAGAAATTCTGTATTTCCATCATGCTTCATCTTTAAAAGAAAATAAGAGACATGTAAAGAGAAGGTAGGGTTAGAAAGTGAGGCACTTGGGAAGGGGGAGAAAGAGAAATGAGTTAGTGTGAGGAAAACACAATAAGGGAATCTCCAAGAAGCAAGGTCCACAATGTCCAAGAGAACAAAGAACACGCCACCCCTGCCCCACCGCCAGAGACAAAACGAGAGCCTCTGCTACAGCCTTGCTAAAGAGGGCAAGACGCAGGTGCAGCACAGCACGGAGGAACGCAGGCTAAAGGGGCAAAAGCAGGATGTTAAAAAGACACATGTAGAAGCCAATCACCAGTCCCTGGAGATTATAATCTGAAAATAATCATGTTGAAGACTGAAAGAAGCAAAAACCTAAATTGACTGAGAAAAGATAAAGAATCCTCACGGCTGTGAATAAAAGGAAAGTCACAGGAGTTAGGAATTCTGAAACTATTTTGTTCTGTGTTCTGGGGTTGAATTAATAAATACAAGTAATTTAAAAAATCTCTCATTGTTGAAGGAAGACTTAAATTCTTCAAGAAAAGGGAGAGACTGGGAAGAACTCTGTGGTGCTGGATTTGGAAGTTGAGCAATACAGATTTACGGTTTTATTTTAATAGATGTGCTGAAAACGAAGGGAATAAACACAGATGTGTATATGCATGTGTTATATAAATAAATATATTCCTAGCTCTATGCATTGAGGGCCCCTAGAAGCAGCAACAAGACCCTGGTATCAATGAGCACAACTATCACACACATCTTGGTTTCTAAATATCATTCTATAGTAACAATAATAATAATATCAGAGCTCCTTAGTTAAATGACTGATTCAGGGACTGGAACAATGAACATGTAAGATGATCCTGGACCATCCTGTGGAGCTAGAAACTAAGACAACGCTGAACAAAATAGCACACATACTGAAAGGAGACGGGAACCAACCTCCCAATGGCCAGAGTTAGAACAACTCGAGGAAATAATTACATAAAATAAATAACAACAGTGATGGATTATAACTCAGAGAATACAATAAATATCCATGAGTCCATACTGAAAGCAATAAATAACTGAATAAATAAGTCAAGGGAAGATGCGGTAACCCTTCCTTACGGAAGAATTCCAGCGTATACATGTAGAAGGAAAGAGAAAAATCCAAAATTACCATTAGAACCACAGAGTAATATCAGTGCAGGCAAGATCCACTGATAAATATTAAAATTAGGGGGTAAAACTTTATGCAGAGATAAGGTACTGTATTAGTTCTCACACCGCTATGAAGAAATATGTGAGACTGGGTAATTTATAGAGATAAGAGATTTAATTCACTCACAGTTCTGCATGGCTGGGGAGGCCTCAGGAAACTTGCAATCATAGCAGAAGGCAGCTCTCCATGGGGCGGCAGGAGAGACTGACTGAGTGCAAGAGGGGAAATGCCAGATGCTTGTAAAACCATCAGGTCTCGTGAGACTCACTCATTATCATGAGAGCAGTGTGGGGGAAACTGCCTCCATGATTCAATTACCTCCACCTGGTCCCACCCTTGACACTTGGAATTATGGGGATTACAATTCAAGGTGAGATTTGGATGGAGACATAGAGCCAAACCATATCAGATATCTTCATAGTCTCAAAGTATCTTTCCCAAAATAGAATAAAAACTCAGCTCCACAGCAGAGAGGTCCCTTAGTCACATGATCAAGGCCACCATCACCAAAACATACAAATTGAAAGGCAGTACCATTTGAT